TGAAGATCCCCATCAACTTGCACCCCTAACACACCAATTTGAGTTTAAAACCCTAATTTATAAATTAATACGGAGAAAATTACAATGCAACTCAATTTCTCAAAGTAGACATGATATTTAAATTGGTAAATAATAAAAAGAGTTCAAATATATCATTTTCCAACCAAAGCCAAAATAGTATTTGACATGAACTCAAAATACTTGTTTCAAAACAGAAAATTATACTATAGAAAGAGCAACAAAGCTTGGATAATACTTTAGAATAAAAATAAGACCCAAAATTGTGAGTTAGTTGAAAGATTTACCGTAAAAATTGAATTGGAATTGAATGGAGTGATTACCTAAGCTCCCAAGAACCGTATCCATGTTGGAGAAAGAATGGGAAAGAATAGAAGCTTGGAGAGGTTTTTAATTCGTCAAAATATACAAAACGCGTTTATTTAAAAAGTTTGACCATATGACCTGGATAGTAAGACATTGTTTGGGTTGCAACTCACTCATCCGACATCTTATTGACCCTTCATTTGTAGAGATAGATAGCTAACTCAAAATAATATCTATCTGTAAAAGTTCAGATCAATTGAATCTTTATACAATTTTTATGGTAAATTTTTGAAGTCATCAACTATGATATGAACTCTAACAGACTATTTCTCTTTTGTCCAGCACTCAATCGACTCTCTGTTAGTTGCATTGAAATGATGACATAAGAAGCCTATCCAATGAGTCTAAATCACTCACAACAAATAAAAACATAAAAATTTGTATATGATCAAAGTGAACATATCGACAAGGGGTTAAAACAATCGAATTCATTTAACATCTAATGAGATCATTCTGTTATGTGTCGGGTATTACATTCTAACTACCTAAAAAAGATTTCATCCCCGAAATCGGTCTTCCACTCAATAATAGAAAAATCAATCACAACACAACACGCCCAATCATGGACTCCAAATCAATAAAATAATTCACTCTCAAACTCCAAAATTTAGTACCTCATCACTAACAACAACGCAACAACAACAATGAGCCAAACAACGATACCATCAGAGCATTAACAAATATCATATCTAAGTTGAGATCAATAATTCAGATGGTATCAAGTTAGAAAACAAAGGCATATATCACATATGCAATCAAATCACAGACTCTTATAAATCACATAGGAGATAAACAAAAATTGCACGAATATAATCACGCACATATACCGACGAGTTTGGGATACTATTTTTGCATCAAACTATCCTCCTCCACGTGACCTTCTTAACTCCACGACGGTGCCACACTACCTTCACAAAGTGTATCTTCTTGATTATCAATATTTTTACCCTTAGATCGAAACTTTTGTTGCAACTCCTTCAAAAATTGTGATATAAACTTGAAATCACGGTCTGATGCAGTACTAGTTGGAACCTCAAAATGTTCCATCATATCCCGAACATACACCCGACTAACCTAGTCATCAATCTATCATTCCTTATATAAATGAACATTGTTACTTTCAACAACTGGTCAACAATGACCCAAATAGAATCATTTGATTCTTACTCACATGTAAGCTAGTCACAAAGTCCATCGCACTTGAATCCCACATCCAAATCAAAATCTCAAGCAGCTTTAACAAGCCCATTAGTTATGCTCAATTTTTACTTCCAAATATACTAAAGATTGAGCCACATAATCTACCATAATTATTTATTGATTTATTTTTTCATACCTGGCCACCAGATTTTGCCTTACAAATATTTATACATTTTTGTCCTTTGGATGCACCGAGTACGACGAAAAATGAGTCTCATCCAACAATCTCTTATTTAACTCTTGGAACTATCTGAAATGCATAATCTTCCTCGAAATCGGAGGTTGCCATCGCTAGCAATCTCAAAATCACTTGTGAATTTGAATTTGTCCTTCCAGAATCATTGCATAATATTAAGCCATTCAGGATCCGCCTATTACCTTTCAAGAATCTCATCAGATAATTATGGTGCCACCAACAACACACCCAATATACTTGCGTAGAACATGATGGAACTATCTCAAACCTCAAGCAACTAATCTTCTCACACAATTTATCTGAGAACACAAGGGCACTCGTATAATGTCCTTTCTGGCTTAACCATCATCCACCATACTGGCCACACTCTCATGATATAAAGTCTCGGCATTATAATCTTCAAAAAAACTCTAACCAACATCGTTGGCTCATTTTCAATTTCGATTATGTGAATACATCAAACTCTTGTGATATGTGATGATTCGGTACTCAATTCTCAACGAGTAGTGTCATCAAAACTTAAAGCATGTACAATGAAAACCATATCTAAATCGCAGGGTTCGTTATCACTCCTTATGCAATTTCAATTGTCTCAAAACATATGCAATAAGCCAATAGTTTTGCATCAACACATATCTCAAACTATTCAATGATGCATTTCTAATGATATCAAAGTTTTGTCATCCTCCGGAAATGGCAAATTTTGCACATCAGTCAATCTCGACTTCAACTCGAGAAAAGCCACCTCATAGTTATCATCCAATACAAACTTGACCATCTTCTTTGTTAGATTGTCCAATTGTCATGCAATTGTAAAAAAATTCTTAATGAAACACTATTACTAGCCAGCCAATCCAAAAAAAAAAAAAAAACTCATAATTCACCTATATTACACGGTTCTAACTCGATACTATCTCAGTTGAAAGATCCATAATTACACCTTAGCAGGGATCACATAGACAAGAAAAAACATATTGCTCAATCAAAATGCATACTTTGATAGCTTGGCATATAATAGTTTCTCCCTCAAATTCTCCAACACATATAAAAGTGTCACTTTGTTTGTTTAATTTTTTCTTCCATCATGTACATATTATTTTGTTTAATTTTGTTTTCTTCGATCATGTACCTAGTGTTTGTTTTGTTTTGTTTTGTTTCATCATCTACCTATTTTTGTTTAGTTTTGTTAATTTTTTATATAGAGAGGATGCTAGAGAAAGTAAGGGAAATTTAATGATCAGTATGCTAGGGAACTGTAGCCAAACAAATATTTGAATGTTGCCATTCACTCCTCTGAATGACAATACAAATAGAATCATTATAAAAAAAAAAAAAAACATTTTTCTTTTTTTTTACGGCCGAAAAATTGTACCTAAAAGCTGATTTTCATGCAAAATGATTTTTTGTGATGCCATAGTTACAAATTTTTTTCATAATGTATACTTGTGTAACGAATTATTTAGCCAGACAATTTTTCGTAACAATTGTGTGGGTTTATATTATTTTTGGTTTTAGGATTTTTAGGGCCCTAAATGACCTCGAATGGAGAAAAATATCGTTGGTTGGTTCATTTGGTCGTTTAGGATTAAATGTGCGAATTTTCTCCAATTTAAGTCTAAAAGTAATTTTACGTTTTTTTAGCGTTTATGATTTTTAGGGCCCTTAAACGACTTCGGATTAATAAAACAATATCATCGGTTGGTTTATTTGGTCATTTTGAATTGATTGTGTGTGTTTTGTATAATTATGAGTCTAAAAATAGGTGTATATTTTTTTAGAATATACGACTTTTGGGCTCTGAATGACCTGGGTTGAACAAAATAATATCGTTGGTTGGTTGGTTTGGTTGTTTCAGATTAATTGTGTGAGTTTTGTGTAATTGTGAGTCTAAAAATGGGTGTACGGTTTTTTTATTGTTTTGGACTTTTGGGGCTCTAAATGAAATTGGATGAACAAAACAATATTGTTGATTAGTTTGTTTGATCATTTCAAATGAACCGTATGAATTTTCTCAAATTTGGAGTTTAAAAATAGATTTATGTTTTTGAATTGTCTAGGCATTTTAAGGTTAGAAACGAACAATTATCACTCTTGTTTTTAAATTGTCACACTTATAAGATATATTTTTTCTAAAGTGACAATTAAAAGACAAAAATAATAATTATGCAAAAATACAAGATATTTATTGCAATTTCCCTTATACTGGCCCATAAATAAAATTGTTATTTTAACATTGTATGATTTTCATTTTATTGCATATTATATTCTAAATACATATAGTAAAATAATTTTTTATTGTTAGATATTAATTTGAAAATTTGAAAATTATTTTATAAAATATTGTCTTCTATTAAATTTCTAGTCATTGTTATTATGTAATAATTTTTATTATTATTATTCTTAGAATATTGACATTAGAATATTTGAAACAAATTACATGTAAAGTGAATTCAATTTTATATAATGTATTTTTTTAATAAATATTAAAAATGCATCATATATATAAAAAATTTGGATGTGTTATATCAAAAAATATCCAATATATTTTTCAAAAAATTAATATATTAAATATATTTATTATTTTTATATTATTTGTACTGTTTCTATAATTCAAGTAAAAAAAAATTCTTTTAAACCAAAACATAAAACACTAAGACATTTTATTGTGACAATGTAAATAAAATATTGAAAATATTTTCAGACACGGATTCGGCTAGTACTACTAATAATTAGAGCCGTAAACGAGCTAAACCGAGTCATACTTGTCTTTACGTTCGGCTCGTTAAGGATTCGAGTTCATCTTGTATTCATTCGTTAAGAGATATGAGTTGAAATTTTTGTTTAAACTCAATTTGTTTAACAATTTTTTTATTAGTATTTGGTTTGGTTCGCCCATTAAAAAAAAATTATTTTATTTAAAAAATTAAAATTTAATTAATAATAATTATAATATTTTATAAATAAATTTAAATAAAAAGATATAATAATATAATATTTATAAAGATATATATTCTTATTAAATATAAAAATTTTAATTAATACCACCGCCGAATGCTCCCAAACAAACTTGATGTTATTTGTTAACAAAAATGATCTAAAATTTATGTTCTTGATCGATTCATTTAGCTTAAGCAGTAAGCTCAAATAAAAGGAACCGGGCGAAATTCGCCAACAGTTGGTTTGTTTAGCTCTAGTAATAATGACACTGAACCGCCGCGGTTCGATTCAACAGGCGATTCACGCAGGGAAAAGTCGATCCAGGGAAAAATCGCTGCTACTACTGTTCTCCTTTTGAGATGCGTGATGTGTTACGTGATCCAGGATAGGCTTAGTAATGGCATCTGCCCTTCCCTTTTAATTAATTATTTAGTTAGTGTCACTGATTGTGACTGTGCAGCCGTGACTGGATGTGGCCATGCGTAATGCAATAAAGAGCAGTCAGCCGGTGCAGGTGACCCACCTGTGACCCGACCAATCTTCTCATCTCCTGCCTGCCTCCTCCGCACCGAAATCCTCATCCTCGTTGTCTTCGTGCATCACAGTCACACAACCACCAGGTAATCAGGATAGATACGGCGTATGCTTTTAATTTCCTCTACTACTACTAGTATTTGGGATAATTAAGGATCACATAGAATCGGAGGAGGTATTCATTCAATGAGTAAGCTAAACACATCATCCTCCGAATTGGATTTGGATCGCCCAAATATCGAAGATTATCTACCTTCTGGATCCATTCAAGAACCCCACGGAAAACTCCGCCTGTAATGTTTTGTGCTTTTGTTTTATTTTATTTTGTTTTTCAACTTTTAGGTATTATGCATCCCCTGTTTATAATTTGCGGGATATTTTGATTTTCTGTTTAGCCGTGATTTGCTCGATATTTCACCGACTCTAACCGAGGCAGCTGGTGCCATTGTTGATGTAAGCCATCTTGCAGATTCCGAATTTTAATTGTAATGCCAATCTTTAAATTAGGCCCATTTTTCGTTTTAGTGCCTATTAATCCACTTGTTTTCACCATTTTGAGGAGCATATTTATGTTTATCATTTTGTTCCTGAGCCATGAGATGAGTACAATCATTCTTCACAGCATTTGGTTTGAGTCGATTATTTATATATGACCTGCCTTGTTTTGGTTTAATTGACCACAATGTTTGCTTATCGAATCCCTTCACTAATGTAGCATTTGCTGCTTTCTTCCTACTTAACATATCTTCATCTTCTTTGGTGAATGCTCTGTTCGGAAGGTCTATGAAGATAGTTATAGTAATATTCTTCTATTTCTTAATCTTTGTTTAATGCAGGATTCTTTCACAAGATGCTTCAAATCTAACCCTCCAGAACCCTGGAACTGGAACATATATTTGTTTCCTTTATGGTGTTTGGGAGTTGTTGTCAGATACGGGTTTCTTTTTCCATTAAGGTGAGATTGTGGTGCATGGGAGTTTGTTGTTGGACTACTTGTAGATTGGCAATCTATTTTCTGTCCCACATATGTGATTCTATGTTATATTCTTCTATACTGAACAATTGAAAATTACTCCATTATTGCCTACAATGCTACGTGTTACTTGATTCTGTTTTATCATCGATTTGAGTAGCACATAGGTTTACCTAACAATTATGCTCTGGGAAATTTTGATGCAATTCACCTTACGTGCAGGGTTTTTGTGCTCACAGTAGGATGGATTATATTTCTTTCATGCTATTTTCCAGTGCATTTCCTGCTAAAAGGTCATGATAAACTGAGAAAAAAATTAGAGGTATGATGGATTAATTTTCTCTTTCAAATGTAATGCTTTTCTAGATGTCAGCTAGAATTTATACCTTCTTTTCCCTAATTTTAGTTTTGACCCAGTTACATAATGCCAGGGAAAGAAATGGTCCCTTTTTCCCATTTATTTCTTGGGAGATCATGGTACAATGATTGTTGGATAATATATGTAAAATCTTAAAGGCTGGGTGGGGTTTTGGGGAAGGTTGAAAAGTAGAGATAAGATAATGCCACTAAAAGATTTTGGAGCATTGTTGTGTGTAAGCCATTTATGCATTGAATGGCCTTTTCCTACTTTCTCATTTTATTTTATTTTCTTTTCAGAGAGGTTTGGTGGAGTTGATTTGCAGTTTCTTTGTTGCATCATGGACTGGGGTAGTCAAGTACCATGGTCCACGACCCAGCATGCGGCCTAAGCAGGTGATTGTGTGTGCCATATATTTGCTGCGATTATATAACAATTATGGCAACGCACAAATTTCAGAATCCACTTTTGTATGTGTTGTTCAGGTTTTTGTAGCTAATCACACATCCATGATCGATTTCATTGTATTGGAACAAATGACTGCATTTGCAGTGATCATGCAAAAGCATCCTGGATGGGTTGGTATGTTCCTTATAGTCATACTAACTTTTGGAGGAATTACAGCTTCTTTTATTCATTTATTTATCTATTGTTGATGCTTGATATTTTACACAATTATTGTAATTGTTTGACAATTCAAGATCTTGTTGTATGTGGTTTGCTAAATGTATGATTATCTTCACTTTTTATATAACTAATTGCACTAGTTTGTTATCCATAATAAGACCTATATAGTTGAAAGAGTATCTATCGAGTAAATAATTGACTGGGGAAATTTTTATATATTATCTTAATGGACTTCAATTGTTCCTCCAGTCACTTTGCAATTTTTTGAGGAATCTAATTTTGATTCAGAGCAGTCTTAAAATGGATGGCTTTACTTTCCTGGGACTATTTGTTGGATTAGTGCTATATCTAGGACAACAGCACTTCCCATTGTTGGAAATATATGCCATCTTGTGGGGTTATTTGCTGAATGAGAATTTACCTGCAGATTAGAGATAATAATCTTCTTATTTGTTAAGTTGGAACTGGGGTTTGTTGGGCGAGTGCTTTCTCTGTATTTTCCTCTGCTTTATTTATTTGTTATTTTTCTTGGTCTTGCTGTTTCATAGGATTATTGCAAAGTACAATATTGGAGAGTTTAGGGTGTATATGGTTCAACCGCTCAGAGTCTAAGGATCGTGAGATTGTTGCAAGAAAGTATGTGCTACCATGAAGAGCTCAATAATTTTTAACATTTGATCATCATTCTTATTCCTCATCCTGATCTTCTCTTATCTCTATACAGGTTAAGAGAACATGTTAATGCGTTGGATAGTAATCCTCTGCTTATATTCCCTGAGGGAACTTGTGTGAATAACCATTACACAGTGATGTTTAAGAAGGTTGTCGTTTTTCACATGGTTCTTTATCATTTATAATATAATACTTGATTTTTCCTAATATTGATAATTCTGATCCTTTCCGGATTACTGTTTAGTTAAGAAACCTTTCAGCATGTTTTTTCCCAACTGGACCTCACTGAATCATTTCACTTGCTGCTTTTGACAATAGTATATTTCAATGTGGATATCTTCACTTTTGTAGCTAGAATATCTTATGTTTCCATGGTATTCAGGGTGCTTTTGAACTTGGCTGCACAGTATGTCCAATTGCAATCAAGTATAACAAGATTTTCGTTGATGCCTTCTGGAACAGCCGAAAGTAAGTTATTTAATGGTCCTTTCTTTCCAATACCAGTTCAACTGTCAGGCTTATATTTATGTGATTTTGGTAGCTCTCCAGGGTTTACAATAGAATACTTTCGATATCTCCCAAATTCATTCTTTTGTGTAAATTGAATCTATTAACAAATTATCTGCACAACTAACTACAAAAATCCAGATTTCAAAACTTACCCAACAATATGTTTCATATAAGATTACTAACAATGACACACAATCAAGATTACAAAAGTCTTTCCTGTAGTGAAAGACCCTTTCTAAAGCATATATACTTATGAACACTTGTGCAGGCAATCCTTCACAACACACTTGTTGCAGCTTATGACATCCTGGGCTGTTGTTTGTGATGTTTGGTACCTGGAGCCCCAAAATCTGAAACCGGGGGAAACTCCAATTGAATTTGCTGAAAGGTGAGTGGCTTTTTAACCAAACCCGATTCTCATTTTCCTTGGTCATTCTTGAATAACTGTAGCAAAATTAGTGCTTTGCGTTGACATAGCAGCTTTTTCTGTTTGTTTCAAGGGTGAGGGACATCATCTCTGTTCGAGCCGGGCTCAAGAAGGTGCCTTGGGATGGGTATTTGAAATACTCTCGTCCCAGCCCAAAGCATCGCGAGCGAAAGTAAGCCTTTTCCATTTTGTGATTCTCCAATATCATGCGAGTGATTGAGTTAGTTATTTGATCGAATAATTTCATTGATGTGAATTAGGTATATAACATAGCTAAAGTATGAAATCTTATTACAGGCAGCAAAGCTTTGCAGATTCGGTTCTCCGCCGCCTGGAAGAGAAGTAGAAGTGTATGTTTGCTGGATAGGGATAGGGATAGGGATAGGGGTAGGTATGGTTGTTTCTTGTTTGTGGGATAGGGAGTTGGAAGGTTTCTGTTAAGGAATCAGTTGTTACATCTTTCCTGCGATGCTACTAATTATCAGATGATGGTTCACCAACTTAACTCTTGTTGTTTTTGCTTGTTCCCTTTGTTCTTAATAAAAAATATTACCGTCGTGTTGAATACCCCACCCCAACCCCAATTTTTATGGGGTTATTGGAGCTGGGTTGACCGCCTCAGGTTCTCTGCTATAGCCGTCGGTCACACATGTGTGCGAGCAAGGTGGATTGATGGTCTATGTCTTTGGCCTAGGGGCCGCACGTATCCTGCGCATTACAATTGAAATTTGCGAAATGAACTATTATTTTGTTTGTTTTTATTAGAAATTGAGAATTTCTGTGTTTATTTATTTATATTTATTTTTATAGTATTTTATGTTAAATATCTTATCACACATATAAATTACTATTATTTAAATAAAATATCAAAATAAAAATATACTAATTAAATACTCTGATAATTTTTTTGTTAGGGTTCTTACTTTTGTAAAAGTTCCTCTGATTTAATTTGTTGTTTTCTTTTAATTGATTTCTTTTTTCACTTGCAATATATTGTCCTTATATATATATATTTATATTTTTTCATTATGTATTGAATTAAATTATTTATTTTACCAAATTAAATAATCAATTCACATTCTCTATTAAATTTATTTTCTCTACAATGATGTTTCATACTATCCCTCATACTATCCCTCAGTGTCACTTTTTATGTCTATTTTTCCATTTTGCTGTCTCATTTATTTTGTCAATAATTATACATTTTATTATAATTTTTAAAAATTTAATTATACTAATAAGTTATTTTAATTTTAATTTATGATTATTTTGATTATACTGTAATTATTTTTATTAATATATTTTTAATTATTTATTAATTATATCTCTCTTAAATTTTCACCTGACAAAATATTTGAGACGGAGAGAGTATTATGTCTCTACAATTGAATTATATGTATCTCAGGCACTAAGGAATATGTTGGGTTCTGAAGTTTTGTTTTGTTTTATTTTTCATATTTTTAAAAGAGATTTGAAGATTTTATGAAAAACAGAAAATTTGGTATTTCTAAAAACAAAAACAATTTAGTAGTTATATAGTAAAAGAAATTAAAATTAAATTCTAAATTAATGTGAATTATATATACATATTAAGTATATATATTTAAAATACTTAATTTACATTAATTAACTGAGCATATTTGACTATTATTAAATTTCACGTATTGACTGTATAAGCATAGATTTTATTTATGTATAATTTCTTTATAATAAATAATCGTATAGGCTCATAATTTAATTACCTTAATTAATTTTTCTACTATATTTCTAATTATCCATTATTTTTAATTAAGTTTATAATAAAATTTTCATAATATTCAATAAATTAGTAGTATTTTAATATAAAAATAAAGAACAACTATTTCGGGTGTGTTTGTTTAGAAAATAGTTTCAAGAAAGTATTTCTTTATTTTTTTACTTGAGGTATAGTGCAAGTAATATAAAAATAATAAATATGTAATATATTAATTTTTTGAAAAAATGTATTTAAAAAAAAGTGTCAGAACACACAATTTCTACATAAAAATAGTATTAAAATAATTTATTTATTTATTATTGTGTTTATAATATTGTTACGTATGAATTTTATAATTAGGTTAAAAGGCCCAAGCAAGAAGGAGATGTGGGCCTGTAATTGGGTCCGCTAGATTAATTAAGGGGTGTTTCAAGATAATCGGTTGAATCGGACGTCCTTCTAAGGAAATAGGCAAGTCGGATGGTCCGCAGGACGGATGGTCTGCAAGTCGAATGGTCTGTGAGTTGGACAGTCCACAGGTCGGATGGTCCGCAGGACAGATGGTCTGCAAATCGGATGGTTTGCGAGTCGGACAGTCCACAGGTCGGATGGTCCACAGGATGGTCTGCAAGTTGGATGGTCTGCAAGTCAGATGGTCTGTGAGTCGGACAGTCCACAGGTTGGATGGTCCGCAGGACGGATGGTCTGCAAGTCGAATGGTCTGCGAGTCGGACAATCTACAGGTCAGATGGTCGGCAAGTCGGATGGTCTACAAGTCGGACAGTCCACAGGTCGGATGATCCGCAAGTCGGATGGTCCGCGGGTCGGACGGTCCACAAGTTGGAAGATCCGCGGTCAGACAGGCAGGTCGGTTGGTTCGCGGTCGAATAAGTAACTCGGAGGGTCCGCGGTCGGACAGGCAGGTCGGTTGATCCGCAGTCGGATAAGCAAGTCGGAAGATCCGCGGTCGGACAGGCAGGTCGGTTCGTTCGAGGTCGAATAAGTAAGTCGGAAGGTCTGCAGTCGGACGGGTAGGTCGGTTGGTCTGTAATCGGATAAGAAGGTCGGAAGGTCCGTGGTCGGACGAGTAGGTCGATTGGTTTGCGGTTGGACAGGCAGGTCGGTTGGTCCGAAGTTGGATGAGCAAGTCGGTTGTCGTGGAGGTCGGATGCTGCGGAGATCGAGTGAGAACAGTAGCTTGGTCGGTTGGGTTACGCGGTTGGTAAGACGGTTGAGAACACGTGTCAGCAAAAGAGGAATTAGTAGACGGTTGAGAGGAGGCGTTGTAACCGTTCGGGCGACGGTTCGAGGTACTGTTTCTGGGGAATATTTAAGGATTGGGGTCAGCAACTGGCAAGGGATCTTCAATCATCTTCGAACGACAACAAAGTCAGTGATTCGGGGATCATCATTTAATTTTCAGTCTGTAGCGTTTATTTTCCAGTTTACTTATATACTGTACAGTATTTAGAGATTACTAATCTCATGCACTAATTATATCAAATTCGAAGATAATTTCCTATTTTTGAAGTTTAATTTTTTATTGTTGAATAATTTCCTATTTTTGAAGTTTAATTTTTTATTGTTGAAAAATTTGCATCAGCAAATTGGCGACCACAGTGGGAGAAAGGCAAGATTGCTGATCCTACATTAACAGAGATTTTCATACGACTGAGGTTCGGCCGAATCATCAGAAAGATCAATATGGCAGGCTCACAACCTCAATCATCTTCAGCACCGGTGGGAGAAAATATTTCACCACCTGTGATGCCAAATCCAGGGGAGATTCCCCAACCACCCACCGATTGGTTGTCTTATGTTCAACAATTTAACAATCAGTAAACTTTGGCTATGCAGAACATGTTACGCGAGCAACAGAACATCATATTGCGCGAGCAACAGAATCTCATGCAGAACATGTTAGATCAAGCTTTATCAAAGGTTACTCTTCAACCCACTCAGACGCCACCAGGAATATCACCATCAAGAATGCAAGCAAATTTCGCAGGGCCATCATACATTGACAGTACATTGCCAAGCGCCACAACGTTCAACCGAACAAATAGGGGAAAGACTCCTCTAACTTTCCCTAATAATGTTCCTTTGGGATCAAAAGTTGAAAATGTGCAGCTGAACACTGTCAGGGAAAAGAGGCAAGGAGTACATGTACAGGATCCCATCCTTATCCCTGATCATCGAAACTCTCGTGTGGATCCTGAAGAGATTGCGCAAGTGTTGAGGGTTCATTTCGGTTTGAATCCTCAGATGGCCAACCGTTCTGCTTATCAAAGACCTTTTCCTAAAAGGATCATTAACGACTATCCACTTCGAGGGAATTATCGACCACCTGATTTCCATGCTTTTTCAGGGGAAGACGGATCCTCCACCATAGAGCATGTGGGTCGTTTTACAGCATAGTTGGGGGAAGTTGGAAATAATCCTTTTTATAAACTGCAATTATTTGGATTATCTCTTACTAGAACAGCTTTTTCATGGTTTGTAAATCTGCCACCTGGGCAAATACAAACTTGGGAACGTTTGGAAATGGCGTTCCATGCTAGATTCTTCAATCCTTTACCAACTGTTTCTCTTACCGATTTGTTGGAATTGAAGCAATATCCAGAAGAATCAGCCTCACAGTTTATTGAAAGGGTGCAATTGATGAAAGGACGTTGTCCTACTATAATCAATGAAAAAGAAATGACCAATTTAGTGGTAAGAAATATGCATGGCCGTCTAAGAGAGGCACTCACTGCTCATGATGTGGAAGATTTGACAAGTCTCGCTGCCAAGGCTGGACGTTTAGAGTCTCTTTTCAGAGAAAAGGATCAGAATTTCAAACGAAATAAAGTTCAACATATGGCGAGTATGGAAACAGAAGCATACGACTTTGATTTTGATCAGACAGAAGAAATGGCAGCCGAAATCATTTCAGGAAAGCCTTATGTGTGCTCTAAATTAAAGCCAGTTCCAGGAACTGAAGGAAGAGAGCAACCCACATTTGACAATTCAAAGGCTGATGAAATTTTTGATATTTTGCTAACTGATGGCCAGATTCGAATTCCAAAAGGCAAAGGTTGGCTACTAAGGAAGAAATCAAAGGAAGACCATATTGTAAGTGGCATAACTCTTTCACACACAATACAAGTCAATGCACTCATTTTTCGAAATGAGATCCAAAAGGCCATTAAGGCAGGTCGGCTCAAATATATCACTTTGGGTGTAGAGCAACAACGTTTTCCAAAAGTAACCACAACAATGGTTAATATACAAGCAAGTCCCAGATCGGGAAAAGGAAACCCATCAAACAGTGGCCGACCAGAAGAAAAACTCAAGGTTTATAAAAAACCAGTGGCCGAAAAATGGGATAATCAAGATGGTTCTTTTAATGTGGAATTAAAGGAACAAGTTTCTAAAACCACCCGACTAGAAGAACTGGGTTGGTCGGGAGCAAGTGGGCTCGAAATAAAAAACCTTTACCAGTTGATGTGGATCCTCGTTTTCCGGGTATGAATCATACTCAAATTCGTAATGCCAAGCGCACGTATACTTCGAGGTACAGGACAAAGGTCTCTTCATCAAAGCAACCGAATGATATGCGAGGCACTGCTGATTATTCAGAGCGAGGTCGGTCCACAAGGGTTGCCTCATCAAAGCAGCCGAATGATATTCAAGGCGCTGTTGATTCTCCGGAAGGAGGTCGGTCCATAAGGGTCGTCTCATTTGAGCAACCGAATGATGTACCAGTTGCTACCGATTATCCGGAAAGAGGTCGGTCCATATGGGTCGCCTCATCAAAGCAGCCGAATGATATGCGAGGCGCTGCTAATAA